GGGCATAGAGGACCTACAATAATGTACAGTATTTGAAAAATAATGTGTTTTTTTAACATTAAAGCATGTCAACATATTCTGTTACACCAAATAATGATCTTTAAAAAAGCATCATATGACCCCTTTAAGATATCATTTTAACTTGAGCCCTCATCAGATCTTCTCATATACATTACATGGTCAAAAGTATGTAGATACTCCCTTCTGTTGAGCAGGTTGCGTATTGCAGTTAGGGGTGTGCGATAATATCGTAATTGTTGTTTAAACGATGTGCGATTTGATTAATAATACTCAAGTAAAGTACAGATACTCAAAAAGTGTACTTAAGTACAATACTCAAGTAAATGTACTTAGTTACTGTCCACCTCTGACACTATGTGATGTAGGTTAGACTAATGCGTGAGCACATTTAGAGTTAATGCTTTCACTGCTTGATTTAATTTATAAAATACATTTAGAATTCCCCTAAAATTCAGTGTAATATGGCAAAAATGCCACCATGTGACATTTATATTTATATCATCTTATATAGTTAATAGCACACAAAGAGTAGTTTTTTTCTCCAAAAATCAGCACAATTGCAAATGTGATAAAGGCTGTAAGAACAGTTCAATAAACAATAAGTTAATATTACCTGACGTTTTGCTCTATTTAGTCAATGAAAATAATTTAAGTTTTGCTGTAGCTTTAATTTAATTAAAGCTATAGCAAAACTGTTTTGCGTCTCTGAGCAACACACTGCAGTGTTTCATTACCGTTTGAATGAATCAGTTGAATGAATGACTCAATGACTCACTCATGCAGTGATTTGCTGCCACCTACTGGCTATTTTAGATACATTTTCCCTTTTTTCCCCAAAATCATTTAAAATATCAGTATTCAGCATTTTTTAAACATCAAAACAGTATTTATGCATTTGCAACTGCAGGTTAAATGCATTCATGTCCTGCATTAAATAGTCTGTGTAAATGCATGTAAATGCCAATTCAGTTGCAGATTCTGTGCCACCTCTTCATTGCAAACACAAATCTTGCTGATACTGATTTTAATTGATTGGTAACAGTCCTACTGTGTCTTACTTTTTGAATTTATTAATTAAATTTATGAATTTGACATGAAAAGATGATGCATACATTTAATTAGGTTAGAAAAAAGCTTTATAAAGGTAAAAAAAATGCCCATAAAAGGTAAAAATCTATTTAAACTTAAGATGAATTTCTGTTACTCCTGCAAACTAACCAATTCACAGAATATGAAGAATATCAAAAGCTTTGGGAGTCAGCTGTCCACGGCAGTCCTAAACCTGCCAAGGTACCAGCACAATAATACGCTCAGCAAAATATCAACTAATAATTATCATTATTGACAAAATACTGAGATGTTTTCTGAAAATTGGCGCTAAACCCATTTTCCTTTGAAATGGCTTAAGCATGACCCATTCAAAACAGGCAGATTTTTGCCCATTACCCAATTTCACCTTGCATACTAACACCGTAACCTGTGTTCTTTTGGCTTATTGAAGTGTGCATGTCTGACAATGTAACAGGAAAGTGCTCTTACTGTGGATTGAGCACATCTGGCCTGAGCAAACAATTCACAGACTCTTTTTTTGACCCAAGAAATAATCAAATTTGGTCTCATCTCATGCAGCCCAAGTTGAAATGGTGTAGTCAAAATGCTGCATCTGTAGAAACTGCACAAGAAGAGAATATGAGTCCGTACAAGTTTCCTGCTTACATTTTGCAATATTCAATTCTGCATTATGCTATACCTCACATAACAAATGGAATGATTTTTAAAAGTCTTATAAGCATGTTTTTCTTGTGCTGCCAGGTTATTGGTTTGCATGTAAACTGAGGTCAGTGAGGTTAGACACTGATGAACCTTGATGTTGTTCTAATTCATCCTAAAAGTATTCACTGAGGTGCTTTGATACTTTTATAAGTTTATAAATCAGTTTATATCACATGATTTTGGCAATTTAACAGTCAGAGTCGTCTTCCTATAATTTTCTTTTTTCCTCTGGTTTGAAAAAAAATATGATTATTCATTCTTACGAGGGAAACGATTATTTATGAGGCAATTGATCTCTCCATATGAAGTTCTTGAAATATTCATGCTTGGAAGTTTTTCTATGAAGACATCACTCAGACAATTCTTTACTTCCTCCTGTCAGGAAACAACATCCCCACTGTTCACAAACGAAGTTCTCGCTGTGTCCCACAGTGAGTGTTAAATGCATGACAGTACTGTCGTGATGTGGTGCTGATTGCTGTGTCTTATGTCCTGTGCAGATGAGACATACCAGCAGCTGGCCCGGGAGACTCTGGAGGAGCTTGACTGGTGTATGGACCAGCTGGAGACCATTCAGACCCACCGCTCTGTTAGCGAAATGGCATCCAACAAGGTGTTTCTTCAGTTACTTGCTGTTGCATCTGTGCTGCCTAGTTTGGTTTCTGTAGAACAGGGGTGTCCAAACCTGTTCCTGAGGGCCACTGTCTTGCAGAGTTTAGCTCCAACTCTAATTAAACACACCTAAACCAGCTAGGTCTAGCTAGGTCTATCAAGGTCTTCAGACTCACTAGAAGCGAGTTGGAGCTGGTTGGAACTAAAATCTGCAAGATGTAGAACTTTCTTCTTCCTTTCTATGTCTCACCTTCTCAAAGACACCTTTGTGTACACAGTCTACCATAAGGTTGTGGCCTATTACACTAGGTATTTTCTCCATTTCAAGTCTCAATTCATTGTTTATAATTTCCATCCTTTACATTTTACAAAACACTTAACATGACAAATTAGATTTCATCAAGAAGAGGTTTCAAGATCTGCCATTCTGTGGATTATCACGCATGAAGGACTATATCTGTGTGTATGCGGAGAAAGATTCTTGAGCATGTTGTGTGCCGGTTTGTGTGATATGGTCCCGCCTGAGTGATGTTTTTCAATGTATTTTTAATTATCATCCGTAAACACTGATGCAAAAAGCTTTTGCATGCAACTCTGAATGCCTTGTCCTTACACTATGCTCTGGTTTGAGAAGTGTAGGAGAGATACCCTGCCAGTTTAACCATTGGCTCTTCACTGTGGCCATGAGGCATGTGATTTAGACGCTGGCCAATGAAAATTTGGTTGCTCTCTTCCATAGCTTGCCTGTTTAAAGAGACAGTGCCATGAAGACTTTGGATGTGCAGTTTTTGTATGGTTGTGTCCATGCACCATAATACTGGTGTTTTGCTATATACCTGATCAGGCAGATGTCAGTATGAGAAGAGAGCAGCATTTGTGTGTAAATGGAAGATCTCTTGGGCGATTGAGGCAGAGCTTGTATAATGAAGCAGAGAACACACATATTCATACCCATACGCAGAATCGTTCATGCAGAGATTAGCGGAGACACTAAAGCCTAGATTCCCTCCCCTCCTTTTTGTCAGACTATTAAATACATCTCTCTCTTTCACACACACAAATACAGACGTTTCTCCATTTTTCCACACTCTTACATGCCGTCTGCCACACATGCGCTCTCAGGGTGCGTGTACACGCACACACGCCACTAGCACACACACCCAAGCACGCACCTCCTGCCACAGCGGCTGATTAGCTTGCGAGATCTGTCTACAGCATCCAGGGAAACAGAGCGAGAGGCAGAGCATCGGCTGAGCTGCATCGGCGAGTCTGGCGCCGCGTGTGGATTAAACAGCGGGGCTGCTGAAGAGAGCTGCGTTATGCTGACAGGACTGGTATTGTGCTCCATGGACTGTGCGCTCTGAACACAACTCGCTGGGAATGCTGGGCCCGGGTCCTGGAGCTCTGCGGTGGGGGAGGGGTGTCGACGCAGGGAGAGAGAGAAAGGATGTTTTTCCAGACCACCACTCTTTTGTAGTTTGACTTTCGACTAAAAGCCCTATCTCTTTGGTGTTTCTGTGTCTCCTTGATTCCTTCGTCCTGTCTCCTTTCATCCGTTTCCTCCTGCTGTTACCTGTGTTGTTGTTGTTTTCCTTCCTCCTCCTGTCATCCCTCAGTCTCCGTTAGCTATTTGCTCATCTTCATCTTTCATCTGTCCCCCTTCCCACGGCATCCTCTCTGTGTCCTTCAGACGGTCCCGTCTCTTTGACTCTCCATCTTTGTCCGTTCCACCCCTCGCCGCTTTCTCCCCCTCCGGCTAGATTGGGGTCAGCTCTGCTCAGCTGCTGGGATGAGATGTAGTCCCTTTGGCCTGTGGATCTGGGCAGCTCCTGGCGGGCCGTTCACAGGGGACACTCGCCTGCAGATCGCCGTGGAGCCTGCTTGGTGGTTTTCAAGAGGGCCTGGTTCTCGTACCGCTTGCTGCATGTAGAGAGAAAGTGTTAGCGAGCGCTCGTCGCTGGACTTTCACTGCCGCTTGCTCCCCGCCTCTTGGGGGCAGCCGTCACTCTGGAGCGTCCTGGCCTGCTAGGCTGCGGCCTCTCTGCCCACACCCTGACCACGCCCACATGCCGTTGGGGCACCCGCCGTGCTTCGGCCCCCGTGCACTTCCGTGCCTCTTGCCTTTGCCAGCGGTCCACGCCATCCGTCACCCTCAGCATGGGCGTACTGGAGGCCATTGACCCGTCACCCTCTTCCTGCCCCTCACCTGTGCCCGGAGGCTACCGGCTGGCCCACTCCTCCAGCTACAGCCCCCTGCAGGGGAGAGGAGGGTCAGAGCTGGAGCTTGGGGCAGCTGCAGATGGGGTGCTGGATGGGGGTGGTCAAGCCACTGAGCGTAGGACCCCCTTCATGGATCTATTCTGTGACACCTGCTCCAAACCCTGGCTGATTGGCTGGTGGGACCAGGTAGGGCCAGCATGAACAGAAAAAGGTCACTAAATATCTGTTAGCAAACAGTTTGTCAGGTCCAAGTAAGGGGCAAGACTGTTTGTTCAGCAGAGAGATAAATAGAAATGTGGAGATGCAAGTAGGACAGGGTAAAAAGAAAAGTTTCTGAGGTGATTGAGCTGTAATGCTTCTGGAACAGACTACATGTGATAATGTGATGATGTTTGTTGCATGTTCGGTGTATCCAAATTTGTACCGGTCTCCATACCTCAAGGGTGATTTTAAACCTGAGCTCTAAACTTATGCACTTATTCAGTGTCACTTTGAGAGGCTGGGAGAAAATGGCTGCTGCCGTAGCTCTTGGCTTATGTTGTTTTTGTGCCTAGAGATGGACAGAACCTGTACAGTGGGCTTGTGTCTCAGGATGCCTCAACCCCTTTCTTACCACCTCCTCTCTTCTTCCCTTAAGCCTTCTCTCCATTGCTCTGTCTCAGGCTGTCCTGGGAACTGGCTTCATCTGGTCAATATTTGGTAGTGTAGGACCAGCTTTTTCTGCATCGTTCCTTCATCCAAGAATTGTGTACTCTTGGTGAGGTTTGATATGGATATTGATGATATTGAAATGTAGCAGAGACACTGTTTGTGCCCCAATGTTTTTAATTCTTTCTGGCAACAAACCTTAAGCCTTAACCTTGGTCATGGGCTAAACTTAAGGTTTGTTGTTGCCAGATACAATTAAAAACATTGGGACACAATCAGTGACACTCCCACATTTTAACATCTTGGGCTAGGATGCTTTCTCTGGTTAATTGTTGAATGACAAATATGTTTCATCTAAGTTGATTATTGGACCTGTAGACATTAGCCCATTAAAATGCATAAGCACTGCATTTTTTAAAAATAATTTTGGTAACACTTTACTATAGGGACCAATTATCACTATTAATTAGTTGCTTATTAGCATGCCTATAATTCACATATTAGCTTGTTTATTAGTACTTATAAAGCACATATTCTGCTTGACCATATTCTGCATCCCTAATCCTACCCAATACCTAAACTTAATAACTACCTTACTAACTATTAAGAAGCAGCAAATTAGGAGTTTATTGAGGCACAAGTCATAGTTAATAGTTTGATAATCACTAGAATTGGACCTTAAAATAAAGTGTGGCCATAATTATTACTATTTAAAGTGGTTTATTAATTAATTCAGTGTCAATACATTTACTTTTAAAGATTTAAATGTAAATAAAGAGGCTGTTGCCATTTTCAAACTCAACCATCAAACTCAGTCTTGGTAAATAAAGGCAACAGATACTACCAGACTCCCCTAGTAACACATATTTGTATTAATTTGGTCTGATTTCCTTTCCACATGATCTGGTATCATCTTGGTCCTCCAGAGGATGCATGCTAAATACAGTTGGCACTCTGTGAATGTTTTAATAATGACTACAAACAGAGCCTTGGTACAGTATGTAATATGCACTTGCACAGGAAAGAGGATTTTGTAATGAAGCTTTATATAAACTCACAGCTTGACTGTGTGAGATAGATAGACATTGTGTATTGATCCCTGAGGGAAAATTCAGGAAGATTCAGGTTCACAGTGAGTGGGTTGATATCTGTGACAGAAAATTGACTTGGACTTACTTAAAAATTACTCTTAACATTGATTATTATATCTCATGTTGTGTTGTTGATTAGAAATTGTGCATTATTTGCGTCTTTAAACCTGTTATATTCAGATGATTTAACAACAATGACGATGCATGTAATAGAAATGCATTTGCATATGTCTGATACACACACATCCATGTAATATAGGAAGGGAATTACATGCAGACCATGAAAGAGAATGAATAGAAACACAATCAATGGAAAATATGACTGCAGAGGGTGATTATATAGCATTAGCAAAATGTAGAGAATGTGGAGGATGGAGATAAAGAGAGACAGGCAACGAAAATGAGGGCTTAAAGAGAGAGATAAAGACAGAATGGAGGAGAGCAGGAGATGAAGAGTGATGCAGAGAGTGTTGACCTTGGAGGAGGTCAGAGACAGACACCTGCCTACTCTCTCAGATTGTCACCCAACCCATCGCCTCGATAAAGGCACAGAGAAACGATATCGTTGGAATCACTTTCAGAAAATTTTTTCCAGGCTGATGAACAATAAAAACATTGACACCCGATCAGAATCCACCCTGCTATAACAAGCTCGAGAATTTAAAGTGGCAGATGGGCGTGCGCTTAGAATAAACATACAAATAGGTATGTTTATATT